ACCCCTCACTTGCTCGGCACTTCGAGCCTATGGCACTTATCTTGGTCTTCTGTTTCTTCTAGAATGTCTCAGGAGAAATAGATTTTGGCAAGCATGGCTGAGAAAGCCATTGAGGTTGGGGATAGGAAAGTTCCCCAGCCCTCTTGAACTAGCCACGCTTTTATCAATCTAACTGAGTCAATGATGCAATCTTCCAAATTTCACCAGGGTGTGCACCCCATAGCAGAGTTCTCAGGGGTGATTCCTAAGCTTATCCTGGTTCAGTGGGGGAGATACAGACCTCTCCAGATATCAGCTTCAGTAAGAGAAAGTCAGTATTTTTAAATAAGATTAAATAAGCAAATGTTCATTGGACAGCTACCGTGCATTCCATACCTTCCATAAGCCCGGGGTGGGATGGCAGGGGGACAGTGGGTTTACAAGTATTCTGAGCACACCCCAGGTCTTACCCTGACTCACTAAGAAAGAGAAACTCACAGAAGCATTTTTTCCACCTGGAGAAGATCATGTGCTAGGTTAGGATGCCAGGATGATAGGTTGATCCCCTTGCAATTTTGCAAGGTCAGAGAGGCCCAGCTCTACCTTCGAGGACCTGCGCAATCTGGGCAAATTGCTCAATACTTTGAAGTCTCAGTTAACTTATCAGGAAATGGGCTTATCATATGCCTTCCATAGAGATATGTGGGGGAAACACCTCGACTAGTCACGGATATGCATTGCACACTCACTGTGCAGTAACTCTCCTTTTTGTGCCTCCCTCTCTTCTTTCCTTCCTGGAACATGAATTACGGAGAAGTATATTTACTTTCCCTTAGTGAAGAGAGGACCAAGAAAGGCCTCAGAACAGCAGAGATCTCAGCATGGCCCACTGCTCTTGCCACGCTCACAGCCCTGCGACCCTTCTGCCTCCTTCTTGATTCTATGCTTTCTCTCAAGTAGTTCACCCAGAATTTCACCCCATCCCTGATCATCACTGGTTCTCTAGACCCACAGGAAGGCCTGAGACCACTGGATCTGGTATATTCCATGCACGTCTCCTAGACTCAGCACTTAGAAAGTCCTGGTCAGCCCCAGGCTGTGCAACGTCTTCTTGGAATGGGGTAATCACAGGGCAAGTCTAAATGCTAAAGAAAGAACCAGGCAGGGCAGGGCTGAACCACATGAGTGATGCCGGGACTATCTCAGGCAACCCACGAGGGACCAGGAGGTGGGCGAGGCAGAAGGACAGGCTGTCTCGCCCTTGCTGGCATTTGGGGGCAATTATGCCCTATTAATGGCTGACAGTGTAGCTCTGCCCTGTGCATCTGAGCTGAGCCAGGGCAGCCCACAAATGTGTTCGACCCACAAATATGCAGTTGGCAACTCCTGAACTTTCGGTGACTTGACGCCAGCTGATCTGATCAGCAATTACGTTTTATTTTGGGGCCAGGGAGACAGCAGAGAACCAGGAAAATTATAAGACATCAGAGTGCAGTTTTTCTAAGAATATCAACTACAAACTTTTTAAAAACAGATTGTTGTTTTAATGGTTAGGAGTTTGCAAGGCACTAAAATAAGAAAACCTTGAACACTAAAATCAGATTATAGCCAATTTTCCTAAGAGAGCTTTTAAGCCTTTGTCCAATGAAAATCTGGGTTTGATTTTTTGGGGTTTTTTTTTTTTTTTTTGGAGCAGAGATGGGGTAATTCCTGCCAAGAGTATTTTGCTGGTAAGAGAAAGCAGAGCATATAGATAAATGGATTTGAAGTTTGTCCTGGGTTTGAACCTTTACTCTGATTCTTACTAGCTATCTGACCTTGGGACTGCTATACAACTTTCTTGGCATCAATTCTCCTAAACAAAAACAGGGGTATAATACAGAGCGTGGGGGTTATGCTAGGCATTAGATGGGGGAATTTATAAGCCTCTCAATAGCATCTGGTCCACAGCACCCATACATGGTACCAAGATGGCACCTCCCTGCCATAACACTGGGATCTTATCATGGAAAACTAATGGTTCCTGTTTCCACCATCACATATCAAACCCAGATAACCAGTCAACATAAAAAACGGAAATGGTATCTCCAGGAGCAGTTTGATTTCCAGAAATTGTAGGGTTTGTCATCTGCTTGCATGATAACATCAACCCAGGCTTAGGGGCATCAACGGCTCAGCGGGTAGGGAAACAGAAGTAACCACAACCAAGCCCACTGGGGGCAAAGCTGGTAAGTGACTTGTGGGCACAAAACCTCACTCAATGCAACAGGCTTGCTCACACTTTCTTGCCCCTAACTCCACACACCCCCAACTCAAATGAGCCCCAAGATGGTTCCTCCGAGAAGCATCTCTTAGGAACTTGTGTGGGAATGGAACATAATTGTAGCTTGTAAAGGAAACCAGCCTAAGAAAAAACATTCCGGACAACATCCCGAGGAAATGGGGAGATCTTCCTGCGGGGTCATTTTCCTGCTTGCCAGCGAAAGGGGCCAGACAGCTTGCCCAAGACATTCTTGATGGAGGGCGGTGACTCACCCACCTACGCCTGCCAAATGGTCCCAGAGCTGCCTCCAGTCCCACTGTCTCTCCCAGGCCCTACCAATATGTCACCCAGACAACACTCACAACATCACCAGAAGGAAGAGATGACCTTGACCTAGGAAGACCATCTTCCCTTCGAGTGGCTCACCAATGGACCCAGCAGGGGCCCCCCCCCAGGTGACTCAATCATGTCAACCTGGGATAATAAGAGGAACCAGTCCTGGAAGGCCAAGCAGTCATACCCTGCTTACCCTTCTGTGCCCATCACCCGGCAGTGGCTGCGTGTAGCAGGCGCTCACATCAGCAGATGAAGAAATGAATGAGTGAACGAATGAGTGGGTCCGGGCATGAACAAACTCCATAGGAGACATGTTATCTCACGCAACGCTGCAAGGCACCTATGTGAGCCCGTGTTTTAAATAGGGAAAGGCAGACTCTGAGGGGTTAAGCATCTTGTCTACACTCACGTAGCTAGGAAATGAGGAAACCAGGCTCTCAACCCAGGTCTGGCTCTATAGGTCAAGGCTTCCAACGTCGAAGCCACCCTCACAACCATGACGATGAATCATGTTTACACAGTCCCTGACACATCAGTTATTTCATCCTCCCAACATTCCAGAGAGCTGGGAAAACTCACCCTTAAGAACACTCGCCATGCCTTCAAGGTTGCACAACCAGCTGGGGGTGAAGCAAGAATTGGAAGCTGGACTTTCATGCTTTCCATCACTGATATCTGAGGGCACCCCCAATCTGCTGTGTTCCGTAGAACGGGGTGAGGACACAGGAAGTGGAATTCCTGCTTCAAAGGCGCATCTACTTCAGGAAAAGTTCCCTCCCCTGACACCATATGTTGCCCATAAAGTTTCCTCAGCGGAGCAGCACTCTAGCAGCTTTGTTTGCAAAGGGAAACTGATTAGAGGACAGAGGATGCTGGTTAAAGACAGGAACGCATCGTGTGTTTTCAATGCGGTTCTCCTCAAATCCTATCTTGGTTCTGTCTCCTCCTGAGGACACAGCATGTGAACAGGCTGGGAGGCTGGCCTAGGACAGTCAGACTGGGCACCAAACCCAATGCAAATACAGACACTCTTCGGAGGCGGCACAGGTCATGTTCCAGGTGACGGCAATTGGTTTCCCAGTGCGTGTAAGTGATGTTTATGTAATCCTGCAGTCTCTTAGGTGTGTGATAGCACTGTGTCTGAAAAAGCAATGTACATACCTTAATAGAATATACTTGGTTGCTAAAAAATGCTAGCCATCATCAGAGGAGTAGGATAATGGCCCCAAAGACTCCTCAAAGCAGAGTTGCATGCGCCTTCAATTTGTAAAAAGCGCCTTATCTGTGGAGTGCAGTAAAACCAGCTACGCCTGCATCAGATTCCCCACCAAGTCACCAGAGAGTCTAGGAAAGGAAGCCTCAGGCTACTGAGTTTGCAATAACCAGCTACTCTGACCTCATCAGAGTAGCTGGTGGTGCTCCAAAGGGGTGGAGTTAGAAGGGCGTGGATTCATGGTTGGGTTACCCAGGATACACAAACCCAGGAGTCCATTTTTCCAGAGGTGGGAAGAAATATGGGGTCAGAAAATTCTCAGGCGCATTCTTTTACGAGACCTGGTGTGGGGGAATTCAGCACCATGGAGAACTAAGCATCATCTTCCTCCATCAAGCCCCTTGCTCCACAGAAATAAAGAATTTGACACAAAGGAAAATTCAGAGACTGTACAGGTAAGTTGCTCATCGCTTTTCTTTCCCAAAAACCATAAGTCAGTTGATATTACCACTCATTGTTTACTGACCAGTTCTTGGTGTCATGCTTCTCAGGAGGACCAGCCTTGGAGTCTCCACCTCAAGACCCACACACCATGAAGCCATCACCATGGCAACCAGATTGCCTCCCTTTGCCCCTACCTTTCCATGGAGGACCATATTTTGGTTGAAAGTCTATCTTGTTCAAAGGGATTCTTTGTGGTAATCAAGTCCCATTCACGGGGACAATCACTTGCCAAAAATCCCCACACACACCCCCACCCCAACAAGGGCATCTTGCCAAACAGGTGCAAGAAGGTGGAATCCCTGGGACATCATCACTGGACTTCAGTACCCGGACATTTTGGGGCTGGGTGTTGAGTTCACCAACATGTGAACCCTCTTTGGGTGTGCCAAGGAGGAGACTGCTGTCAGGCTGGCTCTGCAGCTTCAGAGTCCCACACTGGCACCTGTGATTGTATTAATCCAGAGCCTGAACCTGGGCAGGCATGAAAGCTTAGCCCAGGACTACACCATGTATTTCTCTGAGTGCAAACATCTCTTGCTAGAATTTCAGAGCCTTTATATAGAAAAAGAGAGACAGAGAAAGCAACCCCTGAAGGTCAAATGGAAGAAAGTTGTAAATCCCCCAAAGAACAGAACTTTTTTCAATCTCCTTCCCCCAATTCTCTAAAAATTGATGGAGAGAAAACAAGGAAGTTTCTTGGCTTACCTGGGTCGGGTTATAGAGTTCCTGAAGGGGGCTTCGAGACCCCTTCCGGCAGCAGATGTCCACACCAAAGGGGTTCCTCCGCATGACTGAGGAAAAGAAAGTGAAGATTCATCAGAAATAAGCAATAAGGGTTTGTTGATTGACAAAGAAAAAGACAGAGAGGAGGGAAGAAACAAGAAAGGAAGCGAGATAACCAGCACGCACGAAGAAAGATTCTCACTGCTGTTCCTTTCCGATAGGCCCGGGGCCTCGTTGGCTCCTCAATCTGCAGGCATCAGCCACACAGGGTACAAATAATGTGAAATACCCCATCCAGCAACTTTTTTAAGAAAACAAGATGGCCATCAAATCTCATTAAAATGACGCTATTACAAAAGGCAGTATAAAGGTAGGTTCAGGAGAGCTTGTTTTCCCAAAATCAGGCTCGGTGGTGTATTTTAACATTCCATAGCCTTCTCCCTCAACAATCAATTACAACCTCTTATTCCTGGTCCCTGAATACCTGGTCTCCCCAGAATAGTGCAGGGCATTCCCCGGGGGGCTCTTCCCACTGGCAAACCAGATGCCTCTCGTAAATAGGATTATGTTTCCTTCAAACATCAGCTCGAGACAGAAAGGACATGGGCTGATGGTTCCAGACAGAGATGGCACTCACGCGCGCCAGAAGAAGGGGGCTGAGTGAACCCCTCAAAACCCAGTGGTGTTGAGGATACCAGGAGTGATTTTTAAATGGAAGAGAATTCTTTCATTTTTCTTTTTTTAAAGATTTATTTATTTATTTATACAAGCACTGGGTACAGTCAGAAGCGCGGGAGGGTGAGAGAACCCACCAGAGCCAGAGCAGGGAGCAGAACAGGCAGAAGGACCGAAGCACACTGCTGAGGGGAGCAGCGGGCGGCAGGAGAGGTCCGCGTGCCATGTGGGACCCTCGCCTGGCAGCCGGGGATCGAACCAGCGCTGCAGAAACCGCGGGCAGCCTTGCAGGCCAGCGCTCAACTGCTGCGCCACTGGGGAGGCCCATCATTTTTCATTCTTCTTGTTCACAAACACCCTCACTTGGCATGGCCCCTGACAGTGTCCAACACACAGTCCCCCACTTGAGAACACAGTGAGGGGGAGGGAGGTAAGGAGGAGGCAGAGGGAGAGGAAGGTATGGGGTGGGCGGTGAATGAACAAGTGCTTCTTCTCAAGGAGGAAGCAATTTTCTTGTGGAATGACAAGGTAGAGACATAGAGACATGGACAGAACATGGAGGCAGGTCATTTCACAAGCCCAGAGAACTCAACCCCTACACTTTGGCACCAGAGAAGAGAGCAGGGCCTCCCCTGAAGCAGACCTCCTGGGTCTGAATCCCGGCTCCAGTAGACACTAGCTGTGTGATATTAGGCAAAGGTTAGTCCTAATATCTTTGCCTAATATCCATAAAATGGGGATGAAAGAGGACCAAGCCTCCTGGGTTGTGAGAGTTAAATGAGTCACTACTAAACGCAGAATCCTTAAATAGGTACCAGCAAAAAAAAAAATTAAAAATAAAAAAGTATAAATGACTGAAGCTATTCCAGATCCTGAACTACATTTGCATATAATTTATGACATGAACCGTCTGCCCCCTGGGCAGGAAGGTGGAAACGTCTTTACTCTCAGGCCACCATGTGGGTGGAGAGGAAGTGAGCAGAATTCATGCAGGACTTGGTGCTTCTCTGACAGGAAAGGCCCATAATCCCAAAAGACAGACAGGGCGGGCCAGAGGGGGACAAACCCAGGCGCTCAGCTCATAAGGCAACTTGAGGTCAGAGAAGGGAGGCATCTCCACAGGAAGCTCACTTTTCTAGAAGGTCTCCAGGTAAATCGACTCTTTCCCATCTTCCTCTCCTTTGACCTGTCCCGTTGGGTCACAGGGACACCCTGAGCATCATTCATGATCCCAGGAAATTCAAGGCCACGTTTTCTCTCCCCTTCTTTACTTCCTATAGCAGGGGTCAGCGAACTTTCTCTGGAAAGGGCCAGAGGGTGTTTGGGCTTTACGCCAGATGGTCTCAATGGTCCCTTCTCAGCCCGGCCATGGCAGCATGGCTGTGGCCACAGACACTAGGGAAGTGAAGGTTCGTGGCTGGGTGCCAACACCACCAAGACTGAATTCCTTGGCATTTTCATGTGCCAGGAATATTATCCTTCTTTGATATCCCCCCGCTCCCAACCATTTCACAGAAACAAGCAGCGGCCTGGATTTGGCCCACAGACCGTCGCTGACCCCTGCCCTAGAGAACAGCCCCAGCTACTCCCAGGGTGGACAGACAAGCCCCAAACACACCCTCCGTGCCCCGAAGGGGAGGGGGGCCATCGGGCAAAGGCCCACACATAAAAGCCATTAGAATTTGATTAGGCTGGCCCCAGAAACACTAGCTCTTTGTTCCTCCATGGCTGCCCATGGAAGAGAGAAAAAATCCACGTTGTGTTTTTCTTTAATTTATGACTTCATTTTTCATTTCCACCCAAAACGAGGTAAACTGTTAAATGCACGCAAGTCACCCTCGGTGCACAATGACATAGCAACACTTCGGAGGAGAAAAAACAGCCATAAAATGTGTAGAATTATACCCATGCTGTGCAAGATTAAACCCTCCCCATGGCGGCAGACAGGCTCAGCAAGGCCCACGGCAGCCGGCCCGCCGCCGTGAAAACCCCACCATGGGTTCCATTAAAGTCAGCTTTTATGGGCGCAGTATTATTTAATTGGTTTATTTTTCTAATACAAGGCCTTTAAAACGCTTTGACCGTGTGAGGCCTGCAACCCAGGCCCCTCCCCAAGGCCGTCTGCCCTCCCATAGCCCCTCCAGCCCTACCCATGACTTCACTGGGCGCCGGGTGAACCTGTGTTGGCTCCTCAGGCCACAGAAGCCAAAGGGGCCTTGTGTGCTTTTTATGGGAATGATAACAACCCCACCATTTATGGAGGACTCACGGCGAGCCAGGCACTGGGGGATGTGCGACTCTTCCCACGTGGATGGAAGGAGACATCCTCCAGGAGCCTCCCTTAACTGCAGGAACTCCACCCCGGTCAAGGCCACATCAGTAGACAGTGGCCAACCCAAGACTGTTATGGCCCTACTGGGCTCTTCACATCCATATGACAGCGCTGAGTACCTACTGCGTGCTGGGCAAAGAATGGGAAGGCCAGCGGTTATGCTGCCTGTATTAAAAGTGACATCAGGGAAGTTGAGTAAATGACTCGAAGTGGCCAGCTGCTCACACGATTATCCCACCCAACAGTACCATGGGGTGGACTCTACAGTGGGCCCCGCTTTATAGGCAGAACACAGCAGGACCTCACATAATGTCATCCACGCAGTGTCATTTTGTAACCACGTTGATGAGAAAAAAGAAATCCCAGCCAGTGCTGAAGACACCAGGGTATTCAAGGACTGACTTTATCATAGGTTGTTTTGCTTAAAGTCGCAGTTGCCAAGAACTACTGGACGACATTAAGTGAGGACTTCCTGGACTGGGCATGGCAGGGTTAAGTGACTTGTCCAGGCACCATGACTGGGAAGAATAGACACGGGACTCCAATACAAGCAGCTCATGCTCTCTCGGCCACACCGAACCAGTGATCAAGGGCCAAGTCCACCAAACATCTCAACAGCATCCTGGCCAGAACACTGGTTGGCTGGACACCCCTAGCATCATAGGATTCTTCAAAGTGATGTGATGGGATAGTGAGACTATTAACGAACAGCTACGACAGTCATTCACGTATTTTTTTCAAGCACCCACAATATGCCAAGCATTGGATGTGGGGGGATACAGACCTCTTCCACCTTTTTCCTACTGTTTCTCTGGTGCTTGGCACACAGTAGGTACTTGAAAAGCCTTATAAATGATGTCGGATTTAAGGCTACACTGGACAGATAGATTCCAGTTAGATGTGAAGGAAACTGCCATTACTTCAGATTGCTGTTATCTTTCTCCTTTGAAAAGTTCTGATGATCAAAAGCCCTGAGGAAGGCAGCCCTGAGGACACGGCTGTCTGCTGGCCACCGAAAGTTTTATTTAGCCACAACACCTGTTCTCTCCTTCCTAAACTCAAACCAATGAAATTCAAGACATGTTTTGTATGGGTCCAACTAGCACAACTGACAGTAGGAATCCCGGACCCAGGGACAGTTCTGTATTTTCCAAGATATATAAGTGAAGCTAAAAATGAGACTCAAGCCCTGGGGTTGTTTCACAGTCCACAACATTTATAAGTGGACGCTCCCCTCCCCGTTCGCTGAGAGCTGGTGATGGAAGGTGAGTTGGTGACCAAGGACAGGAACCTGTCTTGCCGCTGAGCTCCCTCGGTGTGACCCTGCAGTGCTGTCGGGTGTCAGGCAGCTGCGGGCTGGTTAATTCAAGGCGGATGGTGTAAAACTGAAATGCTATGGGGTGCTAAGTGGGAATTTGCCTTTGACACGTTTCATAAAACTGAAGACTTTTAGAATTCTCGGGGATTATAGTTCAGCTCCTTCAATTTATAGGCGAAACCCAGAGCGCTTAAGCATTGCTCAAGGCCTCCCCGGGTAGCAAGCAGCAGAGCCAAGAGCTAGAAGTCAAGTCTTGTAAAAATACATCAATAGTTAATAATAATCGTGAGAACTACCATTTTGGGAGAATTTATCACTTTCCTGATGCCTGACACAAGGCTAAGCATTTTTCTCCCATTGCTTCATTTAATTCCCATAAAAACCCTTTAAATTACAAATAATGAGTGATACTGATATCATTTGTTCCCATCTGACAGTTGTGGAAACTGAAGCCCAGAGAGGATAAGCCACTCACCCAAGGTCACACAGTTAACAAACAACAGGGCCAGCCTGCCCTCCCTGAGCCTCGCTCACCCCCTCCCTTGTGTTCCCAGCAGCCAAGCCCCTGTTTGCTGGCACCTGTCCTGTTTGCTCATCTCTGCATTCCCTGTGCCTTACCACATGCTTATTAGCACGTAGTAGGGAGTCAGCACATTTGCGTGAAATGAATGAAATGAAAACAACAGATCAAGTGATCAAAACAGGGGTGGGAAGAGCACAGGGACCATGGTGATGGGTCACGG